GCCTCCCGCTGCCTCCGCCGCCCGTGCTGCTGCTTCTGGCGGCACTCACGGCCGCTACCACCACCTTCCGGCCCGACTGGAACCGTCTGCATGGCCTGGCCCGAGCCCGGGTGGAGGTGAGTGCGTCGGCGGCCCCCAGCCCGGGAACCACCGTCCCGTTCAGGTCCCAGGACTCTTCCGACTCCCAGGTCCCCATTGGGTCGGGACCATCCCTCTCACTCCGCAGCCTCAGGACGCCCTAGCACCTACCGTGGAAGCCCGAGACACTCGATCTTGCGGCCTAGAAATCCGAACTCCTCCCCAACTCCCTACCATATGGTGGGTCCCAGACACACTGACCCTGTCCGCTAACCCTTCTCTTGGCCTGTAACTCTCCCAAACCTGCCTTCTGGAGCCCACCTCCCCCCCAAGCTCCATCGATACACTTTTTCCTGGAATTCCTCCCCCACTCCAGTTCCTGATGGTCTCTCCCTTTGCCTGGGGGAGGGAAGGCTTTCTGGGTGCCCCCCTCCCCCCATGCAGGAGCCAGAGAAGGGGCCTAGGAGCTTCATTACCAATACTTACTCTGCAGCAGCCCTCCCCACCCCACACCCCTGCCAGGAAATCCCCCACCAGAGTCCCTGTCTTGCTGTGTGACATGAATCATCACAGCCCCTCTCTGGGTCTTAGTTGGCTTTCTGACAAATGGAGGGGTAAGAGGAAGAGGGAGGACTGCAGTGGGTGGTCCTGGGGTCTGGAATCCTGCTGGGAGGTGCCTCTATACCTTTAGGGAGCGCAGGGAGGGGCCCTCCCACATTAGGGAAGCTACCAGATGGTCTGTAGGGCTGGGCCCCACGTGGCAGGGAGGGCCAGCGCTGCTGGCAGCAGGGTAGGGACCAGATGGCAGGTGAGTGCCCAGGGCAGTTCTGAGCTGTTTCCTTCTGTTCTGTCCCACCCTGAGGCTCCAGGGGCCCAAATCGAGGCCCAGGTCTCTACTGCCTGAGAGGAGTAGGTGATCATTTCTTTCTCTTGGGCACTGAGAGTGAGTGAGTCAACAGTCAGCCAGACATGCAGGCCAGAGTCCCAGAGACCCGTAAGTGCCCTTGGGGTTGGTCTCTGGC